CGACCGAAGCAGAAGTAATTGCAGCTAGTGAATGTTCTAGAGAAGTAATTGGTTAAAACGACTATTTAGTGATGTAACCAAGTTTACGTGAAACTCCAGTATTCAAGTAGACAACGCCGCAGCAGTGAGACTGTCACAAACCCGGAGTTCATCGACGCACAAAACACATTGATATCAAGCCCTTTTCATACGAGAGAAAGTTCGAGAAAAGGAAATCATTGGTGCAGCAGGGTACCTACAGAGGCGCAAGTTGCTGACATAATGACTAAACCTTTATTTAAACGAGACTGTTAATTCTTTGTGATAAGATGGGACTTTGTGACTTTTTTCTTTTAATTTATTATTATTATTTTACAAGGGTTAATTATTTACAAGGGTATTAAAGTATGTTAATAAAAAAAATAATAATATAATATATAGTTTAGATAAGTTCTGGCAACAGTGAGTGTTGTCGTCATCAGGAGATCGTGCTTCGCGATACTGTCGTTCAAAAAAAGCTATAGTTTGTAATTCCAATAAAAGCATCGTATTTTTGCTCTGCTATTCGTTTTTCTCTTTATTTTTAGGAATACCTTTTTAGGTTATGTATTTGTAAGAAATACTTTTTTAATGCTAAATTATTTAACTATTATTATGTTAAATATGCCAAACTATTTAACAGGCTGCTGATCTATTATGTGCTATTCCGAGCTGTAGTGCTAAATCATTTATTTATTTATTTATTACGCTAACATCCCTTCTCATAGGTACATGGTTTTGCTAAACTGAAATAATTTAATCCAATCTAATTTCAGATAAAACGCCACTAACACGTTATTTTTAAGCATGAAAATAAATACAAGTGATTAAGAATACAAAAATTAAAATTATTCCATTAATTAATTTTGTAACACATTAAATTTTTAATTACAATAAGTTTAAATTTCAAAGCTCTATATTCAAGCTATGCCGACCAGACGATATAGGGGTTAGTGGAACCTGACTGTGATACCGAAGGGCCTGGGTTCGAATACCGGAGAAGGCATGGTTGTAACTGTCCGTCTCTTCATAGGAGGCAATGGTGGCCCACCTATTAGGAGACTCCATAATAGAGACCACCACATCTGGCCTTATTATAGATTAATGGACTCTGCTGTGACTGTTAACAATCTGCCATTGGAAAAAAAATATTCAAGCTATAATTAAATAGCTTGATAAAATAATTATAAAAAAACAGCTTTCATACTCGAACGTGCAATGAAATTGAGGGAAAAGAACTGATTAAACAACAACCAATTTTGCTGGTATCATTTAAAAAATAACCAACTAGCAAAAGGCAGATGATCGCATACTACATCATTACCTATAATTTTATTAACGGCTGTAATATTTTAATCTGATCATACTTTATGTATTATGAAAGATTCAGTTTTCTAACATTATTAATCTAATGACCCTTTTTAATAAAACTTTCTTTTCTTTCTTTATTTTTAAAAAGCATCTTTTCATTCCCAACAGACGAGTTAGAGTAACTAACTAAAAGAGTATTTATGGCCTCTCTAATTGAAATTTTGAAGCAGACAGTTGAACATTAATGTCCAAAGCATGATCATGATATTTTTAAGTTGAATATTAAATTAAATTCAACTTTAGATCGATCTTAATGGAGATACAAAATAGTTCAGATGGTTTTCCTATATAATCAACATCTTTCATATCTACATTTTGTTTGCGTCTTTTTTAAAACTAAGCATATTAATGATTTATATGTTTTGTATTTTCAGTTGAAAAACTATTTAAAAAAGAAACATTCAATTTTCTTTCAAGAAGGAACATTAAAAATTAACGCACAAAAACTGCTTTATTAAAAATACTTACCGTATTCAGAACATCGTGGAACTCAAAAACCACAATATTATCTGATGATGCCAAATATGTAAACTCAGTCTTTTACAATCGAATCACATTAATGCTGCCAAATATTAAGAATTAAAATGTTTTAATATTATCAAAACGTCTTTCAAAGGCGGTTTAATAGTTAATTAAGGCTTAGATATTTCTGCTCACATTATCTGAATGAAGAATATCTGATGTTTACCTCGTTTACAGGTAATTAGGAATGGATGATATAGCTAGGATCATCGGATTCGATCTAACTTGGGAGTATAAAATATTTTGCTTGAAAGTGAATGTTTTCTTTTGAAATTATAGTAAGCTTTTGTCCCAGACTGAATAGTGAGAAAATGACTTAACTTCAACAGAAAGTCTCAAATTCATTCATTCGTTTCAACGATCAAATTTTTATTACAAATTTATAAGTTTGCAAGTAATTTTGTCCATTTAAAACAATTAAAATTAAAACGTATTACTCTCAGTTCGAACAGAAAGCAGTGATGCCACTCCCATACGCATAAATCTTAAAAAAAAATTCAACCTACAAATGTTATTTAAAGCTTAAAGCTACGAGATCATTTAATCAAAGCCATCCATATTATTTAACATAAAAATATTGAATAAAGAATATGATTTGATTTTTAAAGTAGGGTTCTCCAACTTTTGCTGTGTTGTAACGGTAACACACTCGGCGCGTATTCGAGAGGTCCAAGTTCGAGTCCCGGCGAGGGCATTTCACCTACCACCTGCTAGTAACCCGTGGGGATTTCCCCCGGGGTCGCTGGGTAATGTCCCGCTGCGACGGGCTCGCCCGAGCGACTGGCAGGAAGGAGCATTTGACGACCGTGATGCTGGTGACGTATCCCGTGGTGGCGGCCTGCTGGAGGGTAATAGTGGAGGTTGAACCTCCACGACGTGCCCGAAGGAAGAGTCGACCTGTAGTGAGCTTAGTTCTCGGAACAGGGAAGCCAAAACCCATAGTTCACCTACCACCAACCCGTCGACCAATTGTTTAAAAGCAATGTATTACCACTCAGTGTGTGACATTTCTGTTTTAAATTTAATGAAAGAACCTCAGCGATTTAAAAGAAATGTGTTGCCATTTGGAAAAACGTAAGATATCTGTCTTCCGAATTCGATTAATAAGCTCAGTAATATAAAAGTGTGTATGTGTGATTATGGCAAAGCCTCGAGGGCTATCTGCCTAAAGGGAGGGATGCCTTCTTGGAGGACTTTCTAAGGGTAACTGGCTCGTATACACGTTACACATGGAGAAAACCACGAAAACGCCCATGCAGCCAGCCCGTTCGCGGGAATCGAACCTCGGACCGAACTACCAGTGTTCAGCGACTTTACCGCTCGGCCGCTGGTGGGCCAGTAATATAAAAGAAACATTTTCTCTTTCCCCGAAGTAAATACTTTTATGTTTCGCCTGGCAGTGTTTTGTTATTCAGCCAAGCGTAAGATGTTTCGTTTTCCTTTTAAATTCATTCTGTTATGAGTTAACAAATTAAGCCATTTAAAAACAACAATTATAGACTTCGAGAACCTTAATTTCTGTTATAATTAATTAATAGCAGAGCCTGTGCCAATAGCTTTAGCTAAATTCATTAAAATCAGTATATGTATATATTTTTCAGTTTTATAATAACTAACTTAGGCGACTGGAGACCCAAGACCCGACTGGAGACCATTAAAAAAGAAATAAAACAAAACCCAAAATTTGGTATGTTATGACGTCTTTTTTTATCGGCAGTATTTTTGTTTCTGTACTTTAAAATTTATTCATTCTGTCTTTATGATTTTTCCATTTTTGAGATTTTCCTTTTCTGAAACAATTTTAACAGAATCACAGATAGCAAGTAGTAAGAATGAATTAAAAGCGCCCTATAAACAGTTTTTCAAAGTTACCCTATTGAGAACTTTTCCACGTACCGCACAGAGGGCGTAAGCGCCGCCGCCGAAACGATGCCAACAGATTCGAAGTAACAATAAAAAAAAGAACAACAGGAACAAACCTCCCCCATCACGTCCTTTACCGCTAGAGTAGTTACGGCGGTAGTAGCGCACCGGATTAAGGCGTTTTGCAAACTGAAAAAGTGAAAGAATTTTTTTGAACTCTTGCTACTCTTGGAGCAGAACCAGTTGAGAAAAAGCACGTGGAAATTGTGCCCTCGCATTTTTGTCACAATAATGGAACTTTACGTGGTATCGGTAACGTCTTTTACTAAAATTGCTTTTTGAAAATAAAGAATATTCATGGTTTTTAATGAAATAGTTATAAATTTACACGATATTATAAAGCTACATCTTCAAGATTCTTTTTTAATTACTAAATAAAGATAAATTTTTTAGAGGATAGTAACGTAAATCTGCAAGAATGTAGTGACAGATTCTATGGATTATTGCTATGATTGCTTTGAAGCATACTGGAGAATATTTTTAACCTCTGAATCATCTGATTATTTTTATAGCTCATGAATATGTCTCGATTATTATGATAGCTCATGAATTATGTCTCGCTATTTGTCTCAAATGTAAACCTGTATGTGTTGTGCGGATAAATGAAGCCAGTTTTTTCCGATTTGCATACAATTAAACCTTCCCTTTCAGTTATTAAGCACTCATATGTTTTGAGCTAATTAAAAATTATTTGAATTGACTCAGACCGCTAAATTAGACTATATTACGTTACAATTTATTGACAAAATTACCTAATATTGAGTTAGAATAAAACATATTCAGTTCCTGAAATGTCCACAAAGTGAGTAATTTTGATTTTGGTATGTTTACCGCTTAATATAGAGACTGCAAAATATGGTGAATGTCCTAAATTGAAAGGAATATTAATAAAAACAAACTCTGTTTACAAGTCGATTATTCGAAATAGTTATTTATGCTATGCATTTGAATTAATCTCCGGAGGAGCACTTCAAGATGTGTTGTGATAAAACCAAACCATTTAGCAAGCTATAGCTTTTACGAAGCAAAGCTTTTAAAACGGAAAACGAAGTATGCTAAAAGGATTAATGTCCTCCACAACACAATAGTGATGACCTTTTGTATTCTAAACTACTTTTCTGTTCTTCAATAATGGATTACTATTTCAATTGAGTAAAAAAGTAACAATGGCAGAATCTAGAAATCCGTCAAGATTGGCAAAATGTCGACACTTTCTTCGAGTGTTCTTGACTCATCTGTTTTCTCACGTTGGACTTTGCGGTCTTGTAGTCGGATATGCAATTGTAGGGGCACTGACTTTCGAATCTTTGGAAGCTCAGAATGAAATTGATCAACGTTCTACGATTCAAGGTTATCGGGAAAAGTGTCTAAAGGACCTCTGGAACATTACGGAAACGTTGAATGTTCTGTATGAAGAAAACTGGACATTGTTGATTGGAGCCAGACTCAAGGCATTCGAAAATGAAGTAGTTTATGCTGTCAAAAATGAAGGATATGATGGCAAAGATTACTCTGATTCTGATCTACAGTGGTCATTTTCTGGAGCTTTGCTCTACTGCATCACAGTCATCACAACCATTGGTAAGTCTTTTTTATAATTTTGTAGATTGTAGCATTTTCCTTTCTTCTTGTGCAAGAAATCTATTTGAGATAAAATTCCCTGATTTGTATATTCTCTGACTAAATTAATTAATTAATGCATTTATTGCAGGTCAGAGATTAAAAATACAATGTATACTTTTGGATTTGCAAAGTATTTCACAATAAATCTTAATATTTTATTTAAGAGCGCATATAAAATGCATTTGTAAACTAAACTATATAACTTGGTGATGTATGTGAATTAAATTTATTTAACTTTAAGTACACTTGACATAAATACCGATCTCACAAACGAAATTTCAATTTCATTTTTTAATATTTTGGTAATTATTATCAATAATTAATTAAAAGAAAAATAAAAAAATGATTTTTAATATTTAACAGTTATTTTATTGATTCTAATTTTATTAATGTATAGCGAAACTTACAGTTTTTGCTTCCTTGTACGAAGTAAAGGAAGGATTGTCTTCTCACAAAATTTCGGGTATCATATTTCAATGGAAATATCCATTTTGACCGTTGTCGAATACATTTGGACGATTTTCTTTGGGGGGGGGAGGGTGATGTCTGTATGTAAGAATAAAATAATAATTATAAAATGGATTCAAAAGGGGTACTTTTTCCAAAACGGATTATAAAATGGATTCAAAAGGGATTTTTTTCGTGACGTCTACACATACGTTCTCACGTATATATCTTGCATAACTAAAAAACGATTAACCATAGAACGCTAAAATTTTGTGTATGGGACTGCTATAACATTTAGTTATGCATCTCTCGTTTTTATTCCAATCGGAAATCCTAAGCGTATATATATATACGTGGCAAATCGTTTTGAGTGATGAAAAATATTGATGGTTTAGGAATGTCAAATTAAAAAAAAAAAAAAAAAAAAAAAAACATTAATTTTCGACAAATAACAAAATCTAACTTTCAATGCAATCTCTCGATTCTTATACTTAAATTTGGGAAAGTTTTCAACTCGTTATGAAAAAATAAAATTACAAGAAATTTGACTAACGCAGACAAAACTTGAATTTCAAAATTTGCGATTTTTGATGTCATTTCCAGTGTGCCTTGAGGGATCGGTTAATTAAGTTAGAGCAATTCGAGAAAATATGTTTAAATGAAAGACCACAAAAAGGAAGTCATGTAGTGACCACATCAGATTTTCTTCTAGTCAATCCCATAGTAACCGTCCCAGTTATGCTTGAACGTAATATTATGTAGAAATGAATTGAACCAACAAACTGTGCTTAAAAATTTTTATACAATATTAATAATATGTAATCAAATATGTGCTCCTACTACAGTGCGAACCGTTCCACAAGGTATTTATATATGATACTGCAAACAAGCTGAAAGCCTCAAATATCATGTAAAAGTTACGGTTATAATTTTTATTATCCAAAAGGCCTTATGATTTAAGAAATATGCATCAGTATTAAAACTTTCAATACTTTATGGCGCTCATGATTTTTTTTATTAAAACGAACTCAGAATGCTCATGTCTGAGGTATATTTAAATACATATATGCATGTGTAACATAAATACGAAAGTAGGTCTCCTTTTAAATAAAAAAGGAGCTTATGAATATAGGCTTTGTTCGCAAAATTAATTGCCAAAACCAGTTACTGTTAAAATATGGAAAACAACACAAAATGTCTTATTATTTCATATTATTCAAAAACAAATATTTATTATGCTCGTTGAAAGCATGTTCAAAAGTATCTATATCCGTAATTTTCAGATTTTATTATTATATTTTTTACTTCAAGCATTAATAAGTGCAGTTTTAATGAAATTCTGAATAACGGAGTCCTCCACTCGAATATGGGCATTTGGAAGCCCAAGAATTTATATGTTAATCTATAGAGATTTTTATTTTTAAAATTATATCACAATAAAAATCAATGTGAAATTTTTCATTCTGGAAAGCTTTTGGTGTAAATGAATCTCGTAATTCTGTTTACATTCTGCTTACTAGAATTATATAGCTGACAATTTTATTCAGTAAAAAATAATAAAATTGTAGAGTACTTCCTTCCCCACCCCCTTACTATATGCCTTCGTAGTGTAATCAGTAAGCACGTTCGGCTAGTATTCAGAACGTCCAGAGTTCGACATCGCAATCCAGATTTCGAATCTTTCCTGACTCTAAAAAAATCTGAAACTCTGCGAAACTGCATATTAAAATAATAAAATTACATTCGTTTGGTTAAAATTTTGAAGACCTTAATTATGTTTACAATTCAATTATCAGTCATTCAACTGTTGAACTATTAAATTAGATTTAATTTTACATTGGAATCTTAATTATTTCATATTCATTACATTTCAGGAATGCTCGCATTTTGTTGTCATTTTACAAGTAATGAATTTTTAGCCCAAAGGGGCCAATTGCCAAGAAGGGCTATTAATTTCAATTTGGCTTTTTGCATCGTCCACTATAAAACGGAATTTGACTTTTAAATTTTTGCCGTCTGATATTAGAGCCCTGCATTATATTTATAGAAATTGAATAATGAAGAAGCTGCGTGAATGTAGGTATGTTTCTCTTACTGTGAAGAAACAACGGCACCTAGAAACATTAAATTCTGAATAACGTAGTCCTCCACTCGAATATGGGCATTTGGAAGCCCAAGAATTTGTTTTATGATCTGTTTCATATTTTGTAAAGCATTCATGAGTTTTTCATTAAGAAACTCAACGATTTCTAAGGAAGCAAAAATGTTGGAGATAAAAATTGGAAATAATTTATTTATTTTTTTTAATATTTTTTTATCCGAAAAAAAAAAACATTTTTATCTCCAACGCGAGAGAGTGTGTAAAATTATTTTGAGATATTTCTGTTAAATTGTATTTTATGGTTTAGTGCGAAGAACATGTTATTTGATAAATAATGTTCACACACCAAACTTTAAAAAAAAAGCCACTTTGGGTATAGTATAAAATCTGAAAGACTTCAGATTTTTTAGTCCAAAGGGGCTTTGTCCCTGAAAGACTATTTTAGTTTTGTGATTTTGCGTTGAATAACTATAAATGTCCGTTTCACTTTTCAAACTGTTGTCACCAAATGCAGAATCCTGTATTATATTTGAAGAAATTAAATAATGAAAAATCCGCATAAATGTATGTATATTTCTCGCATTGTGATAAAACAACGGTACATAGAGCCATCGAATTTCGAATGACGTAATCCTACTATGAATATGGCCATGTGAAAGCCCAAATTTGAAATTTGGAATTTGTTTTATTATCGGTTTCATATTTTGTAAAACTTTAACGAGTTTCTGAGTAAAAAACTCAACGATTTGAAAGCGAGCTATTGCAACAGTCTACGGGAGGGAAAAAAAAAAAAACTTTTTTTATCTCCATCGCGCGGAAGTGTGTATCGGAAATTCTAAAGACATTGCTATTGAACTGAATTTTATGGTTTCAGTGCAAAGAACGTCATATTTAATAAATAAAGGTAACATACAAAACATTAATAAAACGCCCCTTTGGACGTAATTTAAAATCTGAAACCTCTCAGATTTTTTTTTTTCCCGATTAGAATCGTTTTTTTTTTTTTTTTTTTTTTTTAATAAGGCAAAGAAAGAAATAAAGAAATGTATGAGTGATAAATAATCAAGAAAGAAAGAAGATGAATTCTGATATTTAATTTATTATGATATTTAATCTATGTTTCTCTTAATATAACTGGGTTTGCTTTAGCTGTTTAACCCAATGAATTCGGTTTCAGGTAGTATTATTATTATTATCGTATTTCATTAACAACCAGCTTGAGGAAAATATGCTACTTAATTTAGGGTACTTATTATAGAAAAAATTACACAGTTTTTCTTTTTTTTTCCTTCCCCTTTGTTTTTTGCTTGTTCTATTTCTCTCTTTTTGCGCGTTCACTTTTAGGACCTTTGGGTGTAGGCTAGGGACACCTTGCCAAAAAAAAAAGGGAGCGGGGTGGAAGTTCTGCATCTCCCGTTCTACTGGGCCTATTGAACAAATTTAATTTGCTTTTTCATGTCTCGAAAGCGAACTTAGGATGTATTAGATTTATATGTAGCATTGTTCTAACATAGGTATTCTGCCATAAAATCTGACTTTTTCTGAAATGATATACCGATTTTTTTCCCATATTTTGATTTTATGATTCAAATTATTCCAAAGTGCCAAGTTTCGTAAAAATCGAACGAGTAGTTTTTAACCAATAAGCTCTCAAAATTTTAGCTCCTCAGTATTACTTGAATTTGGTATGTATTTATTAATATCTCTCTTTTATTAAACTTACTTGATTCCTTCTCTGACAATTCAAAATTTAAGTTCAATCCAAACAAAATTCGCTGATATTTTCTGATTTCTTTTTAAAATTTGTATTTTTTTAGTAATTTTTATAAATTTTTCAAAAAAAAAAAAAAAACTTAATCTTTAAAATTTTAATCGTTAACATTTTTACCATTACTTTAAAGTAAACGTATTTCTAGGAAAACTTTCATGTTTTTATTCAAAATTTCTCAAGGTATACGTGAATTTATATATTAGCGCGTTTTGGTATTTGGTGTACTTGTGATAAGCGATAAATGACAAATATGGTTTATGTATTTTGTTAAAATTATTTGACAGAATGAACGATGTATCTTTTTTCCGCTCGCGCATAATGAAAGGGAAAGGAAAATAGGTTACCGTAAATTAAGAATTTCGCTAAGTGAATTACTCTTGGCGCAAAATGAAAGAAAAAAAGCGCCAAGATAAATTTTTAAATTTCTCGGTAAGTTTCTCACCCAATTTCACAAAATTTAATGTTTAGGCATAATATGAGTTGTAAATTCGAGATATGGAAAAAAAAACGGTGTGTCTTATCAGAAAACGTCCAATTTTGTGTCAGAATACCTATGTTAGAACAATACTATACATAAATCTAATGAATATTTTAAATCGTACTTTCGAGACATGAAAAATGCAAGTTGAATTTCTCAAA